GTGTGGTGCGATCATCGTGTTCGTAGGCATGCGGGACCCACATATGCGCCACTTTTGCATTTACTCATGAACACAGAGGGCAAGGGGGCTGGAAAAAAACATTTTTGTTGTAATTTGCTTTAATCTTTCTTTTTTTTTTATTTCTTGATTGGGAAAACATAGGGCACGACAGATCTCTTTATGGAGAAATAGCTAGCCAGGCCAATTCTGACATGTTTTACACGCATGTCAACATCAGCATTTATGGTGGCAACGCAAAAATTGCTTAGAACCTCTAAACAGCCTTTTTTTCTTTTAACCAGAAGCCTGGAAAAAATAAAATGTTGTTTTTTGCAAATGTCTGAGAAAACAAAATGCACATTAATGCAGGGACCTTAAGTTATCCATAGATGACACTTTACAGGCTACCAGTTTAAAGTGACACCGGAGGTCTTGCTCTCACTCTGACGTTTGCGCCGATACCTGACATGTGTGGTGCGATCATCGTGTTCGTAGGCATGCGGGACCCACATATGCGTTTTGCATTTACTCATGAACACAGAGGGCAAGGGGGCTCTGGAAAAAAAACATATTTTTTTTGTAATTTGCTTTAATCTTTCTTTTTTTATTTCTTGATTGGGAAAACATAGGGCACGACAGATCCTCTTATGGAGAAATAGCTAGCCAGGCCAATTCTGACATTTTTTACACGCATGTCAACATCAGCATTTATGGTGGCAACGCAAAAATTGCTTAGAACCTCTAAACAGCCTTTTTTTCTTTTAACCAGAAGCCCTGGAAAAATAAAATGTTGTTTTTTGCAAATGTCTGAGAAAACAAAATGCACATAAAATGCAGGGACCTTAAGTTATCCATAGATGACACTTTACAGGCTACCAGTTTTAAAGTGACACCGGAGGTCTTGCTCTCACTCTGACGTTTGCGCCGATACCTGACATGTGTGGTGCGATCACCGTGTACGTAGGCGTGCGGGACCCACGCATGCGTTTGCATTTAGGCATGAGCACAGAGGGCAAGGGGGCTCTTGATAAACAAATATTTTTTTTCAATCCTCTTTATGGAGAAATGGCTACCCAGACAATTCTTACAGGCATGTCAACATTTTTCAGCATAACAGCCCTCAACATTTGCTCATTGGCTTTTCAAGTGGAATTTGCTGGCACTGCGCTCCATGATGTTTACGACAAAGTCTCCAATGCAGCAGAGTGGGGTTTTGAACTCACGACCTCGTGCTTGCAGCCCAGAGCCTTACTGCCTGCGCCACTGTCAGATGTGCATGTGTTGATAGTTAAAATGCGGGGGCCTTATTTTGTACATGTTGAGGCAGCCTATCTAACCTTAGCCACCTGCTACCCAAGCCAATTGTGACATTTCTTACATGCATGTTAAAATCAGTATTTTTAATGTGCCGGAAAAATGACTTAGAAGCCCTTAAATATCATATAAAAAAATAAAATAGCCTTTTTTTGCTTTTTTTCAGAACCACGCGATATTAAAACAGTTGTTTTTTCAAACGCCTATGTTTGGAAAAAATATGCACGTTAACGCAGGGGCCTTAAATTCTCTATAGGTGACACTTTACAGGACTAACAGCTTAAAGTGACACCGGAGGTCTTGCTCTCACTCTGACGTTTGCGCCGATACCTGACATGTGTGGTGCGATCACCGTGTACGTAGGCGTGCGGGACCCACGCATGCGTTTGCATTTAGGCATGAGCACAGAGGGCAAAGGGGGCTCTTGATAAACAAATATTTTTTTTCAATCCTCTTTATGGAGAAATGGCTACCCAGACAATTCTTACAGGCATGTCAACATCAGCATTTTTGGGGGGCCCAAAAAATGACTCCTCCAAACAGCGTATTTCCGTTGCATTAGAGGCCCTTGAAAATAAAAGGATGGTCTTTGCAATATTTTTACGTCACGAGTCAATTGTAAGAAGAAGCGACAGCAAACAAGCCATTTATTGATGCCGCACTCCATGCAATCCCATTTAAAGGCTACTAAGCTGTTTGCGTGCACCGGTGCGGGGATTTGAACTCACTCACGACCTCGTGCTTGCAAGACCAGAGCCCTTACTGCCTGCGCCACTGTCAGATGTGCATGTGTTGATAGTTAAAATGCGGGGGCCTTATCATGTACATGTTGAGGCAGCCTATCTAACCTTAGCCACCTGCTACCCAAGCCAATTGTGACATTTCTTACATGCATGTTAAAATCAGTATTTTTAATGTGCCGGAAAAATGACTTAGAAGCCCTTAAATATCATATAAAAAATAAAATAGCGGTGATTGCATTTTTTCTACACCACGCGATATTTGCACAGCCGGTTTTCAAACGCCTATGTTTGGGAAAATAGGCACGTTAACGCAGGGGCCTTAAATTCTCTATAGGTGACACTTTACCGACTAACAGCTTAAAGTGACACCGGAGGTCTTGCTCTCAGTCTGACGTTTGCGCCGATACCTGACATGTGTGGTGCGATCATCGTGTTCGTAGGCATGCGGGACCCACATATGCGTTTTGCATTTACTCATGAACACAGAGGGCAAGGGGGCTCTGGAAAAAAACATTTTTTGTTGTAATTTGCTTTAATCTTTCTTTTTTTATTTCTTGATTGGGAAAACATAGGGCACGACAGATCCTCTTATGGAGAAATAGCTAGCCAGGCCAATTCTGACATGTTTTACACGCATGTCAACATCAGCATTTATGGTGGTGGCAACGCAAAAATTGCTTAGAACCTCTAAACAGCCTTTTTTTCTTTTAACCAGAAGCCCTGAAAAAAAAATGTTGTTTTTTGCAAATGTCTGAGAAAACAAAATGCACATTCATGCAGGGACCTTAAGTTATCCATAGATGACACTTTACAGGCTACCAGTTTAAAGTGACACCGGAGGTCTTGCTCTCACTCTGACGTTTGCGCCGATACCTGACATGTGTGTGGTGCGATCACCGTGTACGTAGGCGTGCGGGACCCACGCATGCGTTTGCATTTAGGCATGAGCACAGAGGGCAAGGGGGCTCTTGATAAACAAATATTTTTTTTCAATCCTCTTTATGGAGAAATGGCTACCCAGACAATTCTTACAGGCATGTCAACATCAGCATTTTTGGGGGGCCCAAAAAATGACTCCTCCAAACAGCGTATTTCCGTTGCATTAGAGGCCCTTGAAAATAAAAGGATGGTCTTTGCAATATTTTTTACGTCACGAGTCAATTGTAAGAAGCGACAGCAAACAAAGCCATTTATTGATGCCGCACTCCATGCAATCCCATTTAAAGGCTACTAAGATGTTTGCGTGCACCGGTGCGGGGATTTGAACTCACGACCTCGTGCTTGCAAGCCCAGAGCCTTACTGCCTGCGCCACTGTCAGATGTGCATGTGTTGATAGTTAAAATGCGGGGGCCTTATCATGTACATGTTGAGGCAGCCTATCTAACCTTAGCCACCTATGTTCGCTTGCAAGTAGAGAAACTGTTAAGTAGATGTATTATAAGTCTCTACCAGGACTGTGAGACGCACCATCTATTCAGCGAGGAGATTTATCCATTGACCTGGGATAGGTGAAAGCATGGTGGCACTCTGATTGAGTCAGAATAGGGGTGTATCTGTCCAGGTGATTTTAAGCCTTGAAGCACTTGCGCAGTTGAGAATAATTTTGTCGGAGCTCTACGTCAGTTCAGTACAGCTTCACCCTGCACAATGAGTAATCACCAGGAGAGAAACACATAGGCCAGCTCACATAACATTGCTTTCTTGCTTTGCAGCGACGATGGGAAATTCCCATGGTAAGGGGAAGTACCCAGACCCTCTTAAGCTACCATGTAAAGTGTTAAGAGAAAAAAAAATTGTTAAAATTTTTTTTTAAGGAAAATGGATCAGCTCTAGAAAAATCCCAAGTACCAGCTGATGAGACATGTAAAGAGTATGTTGCCCGAGTGTCACCTTTATTGATTATTATGTTGTCCCATGGGACAACAGCTTGGTGGAATGGTGTTCCACTATGGCAAGGGCCAGTCCTTTTCCCAGAGATGGGGACAATGATAATGTTGATATGTTTAGGGGACAAAACTTCCTTTCCCTATTTTGGTCCAGATCCTGAGTGGGATATGAAATATGAAAGGGGGTGCATTGAATTGATTTTAGTATGTCCCAGGATATAAGCACCCAACATCAATCCCTTTTGCCCCAGTAATTACACAGAGTAATAACCCTTTTTGTGACACTTTTTTTACGCCTGCCACTGCGCTTCCTGATTATATTCTGCTGTATCCTCAACACAATCAGAGGAAACATGCATTAGACTTTGTCCCAGCGCAAGAGTCCCCACCGTCTCCTACCGATGAAAGAGGCCGTTTGGCAGTGATCGATGGAGATGGGGAGGATTCTAAGGAACAAGAGCCAGGTTCAGGTTTATCATTGCAAAAAAAAAAAATAAGGAGTGGAAAGAGACTAAAGTTGTGCGGGGAAAGACTTTAGACCAGATGCAGCAAACTGTGGCTGCTCTGTCGCCCGGAAAAAAAAGGAGAAGGTAAAAAAAACAAAGGCAAGGTAGGAAGAAAAGCAATGGAATCAGGCAGACAGACATCAATGGTGAGAAAGTAGACATTACAGGAGAGGGACACAGCAAGTGAGGAGTCAGAAGATGCAGGAGATGAAGAGGTGAGTAAAGAGGAGTAGGATAATTCATTTAGTATCATTTGAGGTCCAGGAAAAATGCAGGAGACAACGTGGGAGCCACCCAAGCTTACCCCTACGTTAGTGTGGGCAAGGGTTAAGTTGTATGTAGGATTTATACCTTGTACACCATATAAAGCCACACTGAAGCCTAACACACACCCAGTTTTTCAAAAGCAATACCCTTTGGCCAAGGAAAAGTTAAAAAGCATCCAACCCATGATTGAAATATTTTTAAAAGAGGGAATTTTGACCCCTGTGATATCACTATCACGAACAGAGGTCAGAGCTCCGAATGGTGGAGATGGATTTGGCTGTGTGTTAGCACCAGGTCACAGTCCTCAGGATAACCCCACCAAGAGATGAGAAAGCGGAGGTCCAGTAGCGTATAAACAATTAAGGATCAAACGGAAGCGTGGTCAGTAAACAAGCCAAGGTCGGTAAGGAGCAGTTTCAGGTTGGGATCAGGCAGAAGCGTAGTCGAGAACAAGCCAAGGGTCAATAACAAGTGATAGCAAAATACGGATAACAGCAGAGATGATAAGGAGCACGATACTGGCTGGAGAGCACAATAATCTGCCAAACAGGAACTCCAGAGACATGGCTTATATCAGGAAGTTCATGGGAGGAGCAAGGGGTTCAAGGTTCATGATAAACAAGGCCAAAGTAGGATCATCATAATAATTGTCAAGGGAGCTGTCCAGCATTCCAGGTGGCTCAGCAAGAAGAAACATTGCCACTCACCGCAGAAGGCCCAGGTTTGGGCCCAGGCTCTGACAGTACTCTCCTCCTCACAGGACGTCCCCTAGACGTGTTAGGGCCAGGCTTGTGGGGAATTCTCTTGTTAATCTAGGAGCATAAACATTTTCCTCAGGCTCCCAAGAATTCTTCTCTTGCCCATATCCTTCCCATTGGACAATATATTGCAATTTTCCTCTAAACATCCTAGAGTCAAGAATCTTCTCCACCACATATTCTTCTTCACCTTGTACCTCAACAGGTGGAGGAGGTGGAAGAGTTCTTCCAGAGAAAAAAGTTTCATGAAACGGTTTGAAAAGCGATACGTGAAAAACAGGGTGAATCTTCATACTGTCAGGAAGTTTTAAGCGAAAGGTGACTGGGTTAATCTGAGCAGAAATCTGGAAAGGTCCCACAAACTTTTGGCCCAACTTTGCAGATGGAACATGATCCTTCAGATATTTGGTTGACAGCCAAACCTTGTCGCCCACATGAAAAGGTAGGAAGTGATCTGCGATGACTGTCGGCAGCCTTTTTATAACATTCCTGAGCTTCCCCCAAAGTCTCGATCAACTTCGCCTGAATCTCCTGCAATGTAGTTAATCTGTTGGCAACAGCAGGAATTTGAGTTGCGATAGGGAGATCAGGAATAAAAACTGGATGATACCCCATGTTGAGGAAAAAAGGGCTTTGCGAGGTGGAGCTATGTTTAGCATTGTTATAGGCAAACTCTGCCGTAGGTAGATGGTCCACCCAGTCATCATGAAGATAACTGACAAAACACCAAAGGTACTGCTCCAAAGTTTGATTGGTCCTCTCGGTCTGACCATTAGACTGTGGATGAAAAGCAGAGGACAGGTTAACTGTTACCCCTAAAGCTGAACAAAAGCTTTTCCAAAATTTTGATGTAAACTGTACTCCTCTGTCAGATACCACATCATCAGGAATTCCATGTAGTTTTAAAAACATCTCGAACCATCAACTCTGCAGTTTTTCAGCAGAATGTACCCCCTTAACAGGTATAAAATGAGCGATCTTAGTAAGACGGTCGACGACTACCAAGATAGTGGTCATTTCTTTTGAGGGAGGTAATTCGACTACAAAGTCCATAGAAATTGACCCCCAAGGTCTTGATGGAACAGGAAGAGGCTGAAGCAACCCCAAAGGAGAAGCTCGGGGTGTGTCTTATGACGTGCGCACGTCAGACAGGAGGCCACATAGCGTTTGATATCTTTCCTATAACTAGGCCACCAGAAGGAACATGACAAAAGTTCATCTGTCTTTGAAATCCCAAAATCCCACAAGTTTAGAGTCATGAACTAATTTGAGGGCTTCCGCCCGAGCAGACTCAGGTACATAGGGACAATGTGCTTGAGTCCAAAAGCTGTTCTTGTATTCAAGGTTAATGTCCTTAGGAGGATCATTGAGAATTGGGTCATTCTCATACCACTCTTTGAGAAGACTCAAGATTGTCTTTGCACTTGTGGCCCCTAGGAAGTTCTTTTGAGTTAGGATTGAACATTCAGAGTTGCCCTCCTGGGGAGGCTCAGACAGCATCCTTGATAAGGCATCAGCCTTACCATTCCTCGATCCAGGTCCATATCATATAATAAAATAGAATCTGGAAAAGAATAAAGACCAACGTGCTTGTCTAGAAGACAATCTCTTGGCCGAGCGAATGAATTCCAGATTTTTATGGTCAGTGAGAACAGTTACAGGATGATTAGCCTTTTCTAGCAGATGCCTCCATTCAGAAAAGGCTTCCTTAATTGCCAGTAACTCTTTATTCCCAATGTCGTAATTCTTTTCAGCTGAGGACATCAAAAGGAGAGAAGTAGGCAAAAAGGATGAAGCTGCATTCTTTCATCACTTCGCTGAGACAGGATAGCTCCCATGGCAGAATTAGAAGCATCCACTTTCACTATAAAGGGTAGTTCAGGATCGGGGATGTACCAAAATTGGTGCAGAAGTGAAGAGAGTTTTTAGCTTTCCAAACGCAGCCCGTGCCTCAGGGGTCCACACGAAGGGTAGCCCTTTCTTTGTCAGCTGTGTAATTGGAGCTATCACTTTAGAAATGTTTCTTATCCATTTTCTGTAGAAGTTGGCAAACCCGACGAAACATTGAATTTCCTTAACATTTCCAGGTGCTGACCAATCTACCACTGCTTTGATCTTCTTGGGATCCATGCTCACTACCTCTGGAGAAATGATATAGCCTAAGAACTGGATCTGGGTTTGTTCAAACTCGCATTTCTCCAATTTAATGTAAAGTCTATTCTTCCTTAATCTTTCAAACACAGTGCAAACATGTTTGCGGTGCTCCTCCCAATTATCGGAAAAGATAAAAATATCATTCAGATAAGCAATTAGAAATTGGTCCAACAGATCACGTAAAACATAGTTGATGAAATGCTGAAAAGTTGCAGGGGCGCTGCAAAGTCCAAACGGCATAACCAAGGACTCGAAATGCCCATACCTGGTTTTAAAGGCGGTTTTCCATTCGTCTCCTTGACGAATGCGGACAAGGTTATATGCCCCTCGTTAATCAAGTTTTGTAAAGATTTTGGCAAAACAAAGTCTTTCCAACATTTCAGAGATCAAGGGTAGTGGCTAACGGTTTTTAATTGTGATTTTATTCATGTCTCTGTAGTCAATGCATGGACGCAAGGTGGAGTCTCTCTTTTCAAAGAACAGGGCTGCTCCTGCAGGAGATGTTGAGTGGCTAATAAAGCCCTTTTCTAAATTCTCATCAATCCACACCCTGAACACTTTTAATTCAGGTTCCGACAGATTGAAAAGGGAGCCAAAAGGTATTTCTACCCCTGGGAGCAGCTCAATGGGACAATCATATGGGCGATGAGGAGGTAATTGATCTGCATTTTTCTTGTCACATACATCCCGGAACTCATGGTATTGTGGGGCCAAGTTGTCATATGACTGGATAGCTACTATATCACTTTGCGATTCCTTGGCCGGTGAAGAACTTGGTCGACAAGGTTTCTTACAATATTTTTCACAGTGGGGGGGGGGGGGGGACATAACATTTATGGTCCTTGCTCCCCAGTTGATGGAAGGATTGTGAGTGGAGAACCAAGGAATGCCCAGGATGATAGGAAACTTGGGTGACGTAATCATCTGAAAGCTGATAGTCTCACAATGGTCAACCTCAAACTGCAGTACCAGGGGAACCATTTTATGGGTAACAGGTCCTGAAGATAAGGGTGAACCATCAACTGTCTCCATATCAAATAGGGGTAAATGTATTTCTTGCTTAAATATTATTGCTATGGGCAAATTCTATATCCATAAAGTTACCCCCAGGCCCGGAGTCAAGCAGGAGATTTCACGGCCCTTGGAGACAAGTTTAATGGGGATGAAAAATGAGAGAGTAGAGTGTTCACTTTATTTTCTTCAGGAATCAGTGGGGAGACAGACTGGCTAATAGAGTTTATTTGTTCAGGCACAATCACATCAGTCATAGCAATTGTTCTTCTAACTTTGTTAGGACAATTAACTACATAATGACCAGAGTCCCCTCAATATAGACATAAGTTCTGACCGTCTTCTCTCTCTCTCTCCTGAATGGAAATGGATCTCTTGATAGCATAAACCTGTATAGGCTCAGGATTGTTAGAACCCAGAGAGACTTTTGAATCCTACTGAACAAATGGACTAGCAGAGAGATGCATGCCCTATTATTTCCAAACATTCCCAGCCTTTCCTTCCTCCTTTCTGTAAGTCTTTGATCAATTCGGATACATAATTGGATGAATTCCTCAAGATCATTAGGAATATCTACTCTGGCAAACTCATCCTTTACCTGTTCAGAAAGCCCTTGACGGAACTGGCTTTCTTGTGCTGCAGGGTTCCAAGTGATATCTGCGATCCAACATCTGAATTCGGCTGTGTATTCAGCGACCGAGTGCTTACCCTGCCACAGACTATGCAACTTTGCTTCGGCAGTAGCGCAATGGGTGAGATCATCAAAAACCTGATTCATTGCGGTCAAAAATGTATCAAAATTATTCAAAGTGCCATTGTCTTGTTCTATATAAGGGGAGGCCCAAGCTAGAGCTTCCCCAGTCAGAAGTCCAATAACAAACATTACCTTCTTTTTCTGTGAAGGAAATGCAGCAAGGTGCATTTGGAAATATACAGTTGTGTTCAAAATAATAGCAGTCAGACATCACTAACCTGATCAATCACTGTTTTTGGTTGAAATGATATTTCTACATGGCAAATAATTTACTAGCAGGTGTAATAGAGTAGAGTAATAGAAATCCAACAGACCCAACAGTCATGACATGCATGCTGCTGATTCTGTGTAATTGAATCACTAATTGAAAGGGGCATGTTCAAAAATTATAGCAGTGTGGAGTTCTATTAGTAAGGTCATTCATTCTTTGAAAAACAGGTGGCAATTATTGCCCTTATTTAAGGAAGGAAGGCAGCAAATGTTGTACATGCTGGTTACAGTACATTTCTCTCTCTGCTGAAATTCCGAGGAAAATGGGTCGTTCCAGACATTGTTCAGAAGAACAGCGTACTTTAATTAAAAAGTTGATTGGAGAGAGGAAAACATATAAAGAAGTGCAGAAAATGATAGGCTGCTCAGCTAAAATGATCGCAAATGCTTTAAAATGGCAACCAAAACCTGAAAGACGTGGAAGAAAGCAAAAAACTACCATTCGAATGGATAGAAGAATAGCCAAAATGGCAAGGACTCAGCCAACAATCAGCTCCAGGAAGATCAAAGAAGGTCTAAAGTTACCTGTGAGTACTGTTACAATTAGAAGACACCTAAGTGAAGCCAAGCTATCTGCAAGAAGCCCCTGCAAAGTCCCACTGTTGAAAAAAAGACATGCTGAAGAGGTTACAATTTGCCAAAGAGCATATTGACTGGCCTAAAGAGAAATGGCGCAACATTTTGTGGACTGATGAAAGTAAGATTGTTCTTTTTGGGTCTAGTGGCCAGAGACAGTCTGTCAGACGACCCCCCCAAACACTGAATTCAAGCCACAGTACACTGTGAAGACAGTGAAGCATGGCTGCGCAAGCATCATGATATGGGGATGTTTCTCATACTATGGTGTTGGGCCTATTTATCACATACCAGGGATCATGGATCAGTTCAAATACATCAGAATACTTGAAGAGGTCAGGCTGCCTTATGCTGAAGAGGAAATGCCCTTGAAATGGGTGTTCCAACAAGACAATGACCCCAAACACACCAGTAAACGTGCAACATCTTGGTTCCAGACCAACAAGATTGACGTTATGGAGTGGCCAGCCCAATCCCCGGATCTTAATCCAATAGAAAACTTGTAGGGTGACATCAAAAATGCAGTTTCTGAGGCAAAACCAAGAAATAGAGAAGAACTGTGGAATGTAGTCCAATCATCCTGGGCTGGAATACCTGTTCACAGGTGCCAGAAGTTGGTTGACTCCATGTAACACAGATGTACAGCAGTTCTCAGAAACAGTGGTTACACAACTAAATATTAATTAAGTGATTCAAAGGAAAGCAAAATCTTCAAACATTTTTCAGTTTATATAGTGAATGTTTGAGTTTGTAAAGAAGAATACAAACACTGCTATTTTTTTGAACAGTCTAATATTCACTTTTCTTCAATTTTTTTTAGAGGAACAACACAAATTTGATATATTTTTCTTCATGTTTTGATTTGGAATAGAATGTGTAGTGTTCCCAATGCATTTGTGTGCATGGAAATGGAAGCTATTAGAAGGATTTTGAGCTTTATTCACTTTTTTCAACACACTGCTATTATTTTGAACACAACATGGATTAAAGAACCCCTGGAGTGGTGGCGGTTTCCATTAAACTTAGATGGTTGGGGCTGGGGCATATGTGAGTTGGTATCATCTCGGTTCAGCAGTTGTCTCTGCAGAGTATGAATCTCTCCCTGTTGCCTATCCATTATGCTTTCTAGTTTGGCAACTTTTTCTTGATGGGTAATCCTGAATTCCTGCAGCTCAGAAATTTACTGCCTAAGAGGAGCCACAACGTTTGCTATTGTGGCCTCCATGTTTGGGCCAGAGTATTGATGTCAGGAACAGGGGTCAGGCTCAAAGACCAGTTTCTATAGCAGTGGAAAGGCTTACCTGAAACCAGCAGGATAGGTACACAGGCAGGTCACTGTGGCAGAGGAGTGAGATCACCCGAGATGCGAATTCTAAGTACCAACCGGTGTTCACCAGAGCTCCTAATGGTGGAGATGGCTTTGGCTGCGTATTAGCACCAGGTCGCGGTCCTCAGGATCACCCCACCAGGAGGTGAGAAAGCGGAGGTCCAGTAGCATGTAAACAGGTAAGGATCAAACGGAAGCGTGGTCAGTAAACAAGCCAAGGTCAGTAAGGAGCAGTTTCAGGTTGGGATCAGGCAGAAGCGTAGTCGAGAACAAGCCAAGGGTCAATAACGAGTGATAGCAAAATACGGATAACAGCAGAGATGATAAGGAGCACCATACTGACTGGAGAGCACAATAATCTGGCAAACAGGAACTGCAGAGACATGGCTTATATCAGGAAGTTCATGGGAGGAGCAAGGGGTTCAAGGTTCATGATAAACAAGGTCAAGGTAGGATCATCATAATAATTGTAAAGGGGGCTGTCCAGTATTCCAGGTGGCTCAGCAAGAAGAAACATTGCCACTCCCCCCAGAGGGCCCAGGTTCGGACCCAGGCTCTGATAATCACCTTATAATAGCCCAGTCAATCCTGTTAAAAAGCTTGATGGTTCATACAGATTTGTTCAGTACTTTGGGGGGAATTAATTCTCTTGTAGTACCAGTGGCCCCAGATGTACCGTCTTTGGTGACCTCTATTCCCTGCACAACATAATATTACACCGTCCTTGATTTAAGTAATGTGTTTTTTTCCATCCCAGTTGATGAGGAGACACAACTACTTTTGGCTTTTACCATCGGCGATCGCCAGCTAACCTGGCGTCATATTCCTATGGGCTATGTCGATTCTCCAGCAGTATATTCAATGGTACTCTGTGAGTCCCTAAAGGGATGGATTCCATGTTATGGTTCAGTGCTCCTTTTTTATGTTGATGAGATCTTGGTTTGCAGTCCAAGCAGAGAGGCCTGAGGGCAGGATAGTTTGTCTCTGTTAGCTTATTTGGGTGATGAAGGACACAAAGTGTCGAGGCATAAAATTCAATATTGCAAAGATTCTGTTGAATATCTGGGTTTCACTCTAACAAAAGGTATGCGCACTGTAAATCAAGGATCCAAGCCATTCTGGGTCTGCCCCACCCAGTGACTAAGTGCTTTCCTTTCTTGGTATGGTAAACTATCGCAGGTAATGAATACCTGACTGTTTACACTATGACAGCATACTGAGGCAAAATACTAAGGTCGAGGCGCCCGACCAAATAAAGTGGACCCAAGATTTAAAAGATGCCTACAAAACCATGAAGTCCTCTTTAGTTTCCTCTCCTGCATTGGGCTTGCCTTCTTACAAAGTTCCTTTTCATGTGTATGCAAGAGACAACTGTAAAACCATGGTGGTGGTAGTCGCCTAGGAACATGGGGAGGCCATTCGTCCAGTAGCCTATTTTTCCAAAGTAGTCCCTGTGCCGGTGCAAGGCATGCCAGTGTGTCTGAGAGCTTTGGCGGTGTGTGCAATGGGAGTGGAAGCATCTATGGCTATTACATTGGGACATGTTACGTACCACACATCATGTATTACAAATTCTGAAGAATCTTACTACACAACACGACAGCTCAAAGAGCCAGTGGGTATGAGGTTATTCTCACTTCCACTTTTAATTTATCAATTAAATACTCCTCTCCAAGTTCAGGACCAATTGCTGTTTTAAATGGCATGCTTGGTATGAAGTAAGAATCTGACATTCCTCCCAAGGAACATGATTGTTTTTCAATTATACATGAAGACACTACTTCCAGACATGACATGTTAGAAGAGCCAGTAGAAGGGAGTGTTGATATTTTTGTAGATGGGTCATGCACAAGACCTAATGACAATGTCTACTTGTCAGGTTATGCAGTTGTCCCACTCCCAGATAAGGTATGGGAAGCAAAGCCCCTCCCTTATCTCTCAGCACAGGCTACAGAAATCAAAGCCCTGACCCATATCTAAGAATTATTTGAAGGGAAAGATGTTAATATTTACACGATTTCCAAATATGCATTTGGTGTAGTACATGATTTTGGCAAGATTTGGCAGCAAAGGGGATTTGTTACAGCAGATGAAAAAGGTATTTCTCATGCATCTTTAGTGAATGATCTTTTAGAAACCATACACAAACCATGTACTATTGTTGTTATCAAATGTAAAGTCCTTACATCTTCAAATGACCCCATAGCTCTGGGTAATGCATTGGCTGACCGTACGGCCAAGGAAGCTGATTTGCAGCCTTCACAGGAGTCTGCCAGTCTTGTTTTGAGTCACCCATGCTCCTAGAACAACATTTACTCAAAGAATTACAATACACAGCCACAAAAGAGGATGGCAGTTTGCAGGAAATGAAAAAATGTTTTTGTATACAGAATTTGTTACAACGAGTGCAAGATCAGATAGGAAGGTGTGTTATTTATTTGAGGAACAATAATACAGGACAGCAGTATGGTCATCATGACCATCTTCCTCCGCCACAGGGTCCTTTTGAAGAATTACAGATTGACTTTACACACATGCCTAACAACAAGAGAGGTAAGTATCTGCTGGTTATAGTGAATACATTTTCAAAATGGCCAGATGTTTTTATCACTAACAAAGAGGATGCCTCCACTGTGGCCAAAATTTTGTGCAAGGAAATCATTCCGAGATGGGGATGTCCTCGGGTGATTGATTCAGACAAGAACCCAGCATTCACATCCAAAGTGACTCAACAGGTAGCCAAATCAATGGTTATTCAGTGGAAATTTCACATCCCTTATCACCCACAGAATTCAGGAATGGCAGAGAGGATGAACAGGACAATTAAGGGCAGACATGGACCAAGGGTCTGCTGCTGTTTTTCACCTTTTATCAAGCAACTCCCTGAGCTGGCAACCTTTACCAACTCATCCCCCCACAGCCCGCCTCCCTCAGCACTCCTAGAGATACTTTCACCCCTCTAAGGGCCCTTTCCTACTCCCTTAGCCACCCATTTTGTGACCATTGAAATCCCATTTATTTCTACAGCATGCTTACCACTTGTTGGTCCAGGGATTCAAACTCTCGAATTCATAACCTCATGCTTGCAAGGCTGTTGCTCTACTGCCTACACCACCATCACAGGTGGTTATAATGATGGTGTTAAAGGAAGTGGCATATTTTCACATTTTTGTTTTAACATGGTCAACTCTGTCACCAAGATTATTAATCTCTAATTTGATTTGTTGCATAGAGTTAATGATATCTGACTTTATAGATGATCTTAATGAAAGGAGCATCTCCTTCATTAATGTGTCAGAAATAGGCTGACTAGTCGTAGGAAACCTCAGGGTGAATAGCTCTACACGGAGTTCACTATATATGAACCACTGATGTATTTATACTTATTGATCATAACCCCCCTATAACCTCCTCTTCTCAAGAGAGAATAAATTCAGTTCCTCTCATCTTTCCTCATAGCCGAGCTGCTCCATGTCTCTTATCAGTTTAGTTGCCCATCTCTGTACTTTCTCCAGTTCCCCAATGTTCTTTCTGTGAATTGGTGCCCAAAACTGAACTGCATATTCCAGATGAGGTATTACTTATGATTTGTACAGGGGTAATATGATATCTCTCTCTCTGGAGAGGATTGTGCTTGCTTTAGAAACCGCAGCTTGGCATTGCATGCCATTATTAAGCTTGTGATCTACCAGAACTCCCAGATCCTTCTCCACCATTGACTCCCCCAGTTGTACCCCTCTAGTATGTATGATGCATGCATATTCTTAGCTCCCAAGTGCATCACCTTACATTTATCAACATTAAATCTCATTTGCCACATATTTGCCTAATTAAACAGTGCATTGAGGTCAGCTTATAAATTGAAGACATCCTGTAAGGACGTTATTCCACTGCACAGCTTGGTGTCATCCTGCAAAGACTGAAATGGTATTTTTAATCCCAGACCCTATATTGTTTACAAAATATATTAAAAGTAAGGGTCCCAACACTGAACCTTGGGGTACACCACTGATAACCCTAGACCATTCAGAGTATGAATCATTAACCACTACTCTTTGAATATGATCTTTTAGCCAGTTTTCTATCCATTTACATACAGATTTTTCCAAGCCCGTAGACTTTACCTTACACAGTGTGTGGGAAACTGTGTCAAGCGCTGTGTAAAATCCAAGTATACCACATCCACCGCCACCCCTCTTGTCCAAGGTTTTGCTCACCTCCTCATAAAAAGAAATCAGATTTATATGACAGCTTCTGTCTTTCATGAATCCATGCTGTCTGTTGCTTACAATATTTTTTTCCAGCAAGAACTCATCTATGTGGTCTTTTATTAAACTCTCCAGTATCTTCCCAACTATAGAAGTTAAACTAACAGGTCTATAATTACTTGGTAAAGATTTTTATGTCATGGTGTAATACAGGGGTCCTCTAAAAATGGTCTGCATGCTGGATCCAGTCTGCAAAAGTTATTTCCCCAGGCCTTCCAAAAATAAAAAAAATTACCAAAAACTGCTCCGGGAAATAGCTAGGCTGCTCACAGGCTCCTCAGCGGGGAGGAGCCAGCAAGTGGCAGCCTGGTGAAGAATCACGTGACTTCAGGCAGATTTCTATGCAGCCAGAGGAGCAACAGGAGAGGAGGAAGAGAGCACACTGGGTACACTGAGTTACAGTGTACAGTGCATTACAGTGTCTAGTGTGTTACTAAGTACACTGCGTTACACTGTATAGTGAGTAGCTGCAACACAAACCATTAATTTTCTCTTTGATACACAATTGGGTTAGCACAGAGGTTTTCTTCCATTTGGTCAGTAAAATCAGTTTGTATATGCAGTAAAGCATGATTGTTATCACTGTGGGACCTAAGGGGTTAATTCTCCCTATTGTGTTTAAAGGCTGTTTGATCCTGTCTTCTCTGATCCTCCCCTTCTTCTACTGTCCCCAATCCATCTGCTGATAGCACAGAGCTCTTGAGAGTCACACTGCACAAGCACAGTTTGGTGTGTATTGCTAGAGAGATTTTCTTTGGGAGGGCCAATCAGCACTATCCAAACAGAGGGTCAAGGGTTATGCAGCCTTTAACTCCAGTGAGATGAGAATGAAAACTCCTCCTACAAGCTTTAACCAGTGCTCAGCTGGACACTGATAGAAGTCACAAGATTGCTATATACTGTTGATGATAAAAGGTATCTAGCAGTTTATATTTACTAAACTAATTGCATTTCCCTGTTCTGTGTACTGAGGAAGACCAGATATAGTGAAATCAGGGTTAGTGACACTTTAAATATTAGTCTTTTGTGTATATATATATATATATATATACCTACACTTACACTTTAAATTACTAAATGATAATTTGTCGTAAATGGGATTACAAGACGGTTTCAGTTAGTAATTGCAGAAAACAAATGGCATTTAAATGGTATAGCATGTAACACATTTGTTCAAGAAAACTTCTTTATTACCACATAATATTACAACATATTAAAATTAAATTGTAAATTACAAGTTATTTAATACAATCTGTCAAGGTAAGAATAAATAATCTCTTATTTACACATATACACGAGAAGCAATTAAATGCAGCAATGAAACAATGTTTTGTTGTATTTTACATTTCAAGAGAAATAGAACTAAGCCTTTTAGCTGGATATTGGGTATGATCCACATGTAAAAACATTGGTTTTACAAGGTTTAAACCATATCTAAACCATAAAACAAAATGTAATATATTGCAATTCACCAGAGGCTGCTCCATCAGTTTTCTTTTTTGGGAATTTCTTTACTTTCACTTGCTGATCCTGCCAGTAAGACACTTCCTATCGTAGTGCAACAACACTCACTGTACTGTGTTTATGAGCATTGTTGTCGCCCTACACTGCTATTCTGATTTGGACTACAAAAGACTGCTCTCTCATCATCTTAATTACATGGAAGGTTGTAGCTCATAAAAGAAAGCTGATAACATTGTTAGAGATATTAGATCAGTTCACAAAAAGTTACAAGGACACAGGTAATTTCTGTACTTGCAGAAAATGTACTCATCCTGGAAAAAAAATAAATTAAATGCAGTCCCCCCCCCCATCCAAGGACAAGTAAGCTACAATACATCACATTATTCTCTTCGGGTTAAGATATTCAAGTTTTGTGTAGAAATGTTGACCAGTTACATAGGTTTCTGGGCACTTATGTGCTAGATTTGCTGTATGCAACATGATCATCATCTTGGGTTCTTTGCTTCTTGAACAGAAAACAGTCTTTCAGGTTAAAAATAAAGCTATGAAATCCCCAGTAAACTTATGTAAATTATGAATAGTAAAAGGTTGAAATGTATTTTTAAAAAAAATGGTGATAAATTTACAACTATTTCACTATTTTGCCCTTTTGCCAAATCGGTGGTACCTCATATTCACTTTTAATTTCTATCAGTATAGGTTTTGTAGTCTGTCCCATTCCATTGTAAGGTTTGGCCTAATAGTCTATTTAGTGAAACCATATAAAATGAAATGTAAAATAGGAGCAGCGTCCCTTATGCTCCCTTTATTCCTCTGCTCTGGTTTCATGTACTAGATTACAGGACTTTGAAAACACACGTTCATAGAACAGCAAATAAGCACAAGACGAGAGAACTTCCTGTATGTTTGCTCTGCGCACTGTGTCATCTGAAATCCACAACCACTGCTGGCTGGAATGCTTTTGACTCTTGGCTGCAGGAGGGGAACGTCGGTAGGTAACAAAATGTCCTGAATGCATGTCACCATGATGAACAATGACCGCCATTAGACGAAAGAGATAGGAGGAAGAACTGCAATGAGAATAAGTAACATTGAAGATCTGTTTTTTTGCAATATTACATAATACAAACTAGACTAACAAATTATTTAAAGATTTGTTCTACAGAGTCCATTTTGTAGACCTTTGGGTAGGAACTAGCCTCCATTCCTAGGTCCACATCTTACCTGGTAGCCTTTATATGTGAGCTGACTAATGCTCAGGGCTCTCTCTCAATGTGTTGGGCCCTTCATGTGTAGTGCACATTATGCGTGTATGTGTGGGGTGGGTGCAGAAGTCTAGGTTCACATCTACACGCTGCAATAATACATACAGTGGATAAAATAAGTATTGAACACATCACCATTTTTCTTAGTAAATATATTTCTAAAGGAGCTACTTACATGAAATTTTCACCACATATCAGTAACAACCCATGCAATCCATACATACAAAGAAACAAAAACAAAAAAGTTCAGAAATTACGTTATGTGTAATAAAATGGAATGAAACAGAGAAAAAGTATTGAACACATAGGGAGGTACAAAAAGGCATGGAAAGCAAAGACACCAGTTGAAATCTATCACTATCGTCAGTGCAAATTAATATCAGCTGGTTCAGTCTCAACTGATGGTCTCTAAAAAGGTGTCTCATTACCAAGGTGTCACACAAGAAACCTATCAAGATGGGTAAAAGCAAAGAGCTCTCTCAAGACCTTCACAACCTTATCGTTGCAAAACATACTGATGGTATTGGTTACAGAAGGATTTCTAAACTTCTGAATGTTCCAACGAGCACTGTAGAGGCCATAATTCTGAAGTGGAAAAAACATAATTTCACCATAAACCGACCATGACCAAGTGCTCCTTGCAAGATTTCTCATAGAGGAGTGAAAAGAATTATCAGAAGAGCTGTCCAAGAGCCAAGGACCACTTGTGGAGAGCTTCAGAGAGACCTGGGATTAGCAGGTTACAATTGTTTCAAACAATATGTAATGCACTCAATTGCCTGTATGCATGCTCACCATGCAAGACTCCATTGCTGAAGAAAAAGAATGTTGAAGCTCGTTTAAAGTTTGTTGCACAACATTTAGACAAACCTATAAAATACTGGGAGAATATAGTCTGGTCAGATGAGGCAAAAATTGAACTCTTTGGATGCCATAATACACACCATGTTTGGAGGTCAAATGGCACTTCACATCACCCCAAAAACACCATCCCAACAGTGAAGTTTGGAGGTGGGAACATCATGGTGTGTGGCTGTTTTCAGCATACGGTACTGACAAACTTCATACCGTTGAAGGAAGAATGAATGGAAACAAGCACCAAGACATTCTTGATAAAAAATCTGGTGCCATCTACCAGGACGATGGAGATGAAACGAGGGTGGACATTTCAGCAAGACAATGATCCCAAACACAGAGCCAAGGAAGCTCTCAATTGGTTTCAAAGAAAGAAAATAAAGCTGCTAGAATGGCCCAGCCAATCACCTGACTTCACCTGAATCCAGTAGGAAATCTATGAAAAGAACTAAAGATAAGAGTTCATAGAAGAGGCCTACGGAACCTGAAGACTTTGTGGAAGAATGGGCCAAAATCACACCTGAGCAATGCATGAGATTAGTTTCTCCATACAGTAGGCGCGTCTTGAAACTGTTGTTACCAACAAAGGATTTTGTATGAAGTTAAAAATAAATTTTAGTTAGCGTGTTCAATACCTTTTCCCTGTGTCATTCCATTTTATTACACATACCTTAATTTCTGAACTTATTTGATTTTTTTTGTATGTATGGATTGCATGTGTTGTTACTGACATGTGGTGAAAATTTCATGTCAATAGCACCTTTAGAAATAATTTACTGAGAAAAACGGTGAAGTGTTCAATGCTTATTTTACCCACTGTACATACATTCAAATTCACAGAAAACACACCATAAAGGAGCATGTAAAAAAAAAAAAAAAAAAAAAAAAAGAAAAAGCAGCACACCAGTGCACTGGGATGCCATTACTCACGAATGGCACCTCACCACACCATGAGTACGTTTTCAATTGCAGTGGCAATGTGAATGATGTCATGAACATTTCTGCATCAAGCCTATTCCCATTATTACCACACTGCAGGCTAAATCTATATTCTGTAGTCTGTAAAGCAGATATATACCATGTAATTTTGGCTTCATTTACCCCTAAGTAGCTCCATATTAATTTAATCTTCCAGAAACGTCATCCTTTAGAGTCACACTCAACATTTTGAGGCATAAGGGGCCACTTAAAGCAGAACTACACTGCATCTGAGCACCACAAACCAAAACTGCCATTTAATTTCTTTTTAATATTCAAAGCAAACTCCCCCCATCCATTCATGTCTCTGTGCTTTATTTTGTTGAGAAATCACTTTGAAAAACACCCCTAGCATTTCTGGCTGTGGCTACCTTGAGTATGTAGCATTTACTTCCTGGAATCAATCTGCCCTTAGCTCAGGCACGCAGGCAAGAGGGTGTGCTTAGCTGAGAAAATCCCTTCTAAAGACTCCTGGGATGTATGACATAATTTGCATAGGCCTGGAAACCAGGATGTAACTGAAGAAAATGTGAAAAAACAAGCAAATATGATATACTTTCCTATCTATTTATTAATGCTAGCAGCATAAAGAATAAAAATAGTCAGTGTTGATTGACAGAGGTTGCGGGCCACAATTAAATAAAATGGTTCAGAATTCGATTTATTTTGAATGCCATAATGAACATTTTCCTCCTGCAGCCGCTGAATGCCAGTGGGAGGTACAGGAAGTGACGTCGGCTTTCAGCAGCTGCAGGAGGAAAAAGGAGAGGATTAATTCCTGTATACGCCTCCCCTCCTGTCCAAGTAAAAAAACAGTGTTAAAAACTCGTCTCAACAATGGGGTTTTTCTGCCCCCCAAACCGCAAATGTAAATGAGCCCTTACTGTCCTGAGCCCCGTATCAGTTGCTTTCACACTGATGTGCTGTGGTTTCCTGTCCCGGGGGTGCACTGTAGTGCACCTACACTTTCTGAAAGCACACAAAATATCAACTCCTGCATTCAGTGCAGCAAACCCGCAGAAAACCCTCAGGTGCATTGCACTACGCCTGCGGATTAGTGAATTAGGAATCAGCCTAATGGTTGTCAACCCTTTTATAAGTGCTAATATACCCATTACAAAAGTGCAGTGTATATGTTGTTTAATACACTGACCTTTTTTCCTTCTCCAGCTTCTGCTGGCATCGCTCTCTAGGCTGCCAGAAAGGTCCCAGACAAGGTGCATTTCTTGGTATGACACAGCCTGGGACAGAAGGCAGTGCTAAAGAAGAAGCATCGGCTTATGTAGCCCCTGTTCTCTCCATGGCTGCCTGCTTTCTCCGCTGGTTTGATGCACTCTGAAGCTCTGAGATGGCGGGTTGGCAAGCCCAGATCGCAATCAACGGGTTGCCGACCCAGGCCATACACTTCCCTGGCTTGAGGTCAAGCGCCACATCAGAGGACTCTAAGAGCCAGATGTGGCTCGCAAGCCACAGGTTCAGCTCCCCTGTTTTAGAGGCTTTCCCTCAAGTATTTCCTTTCCAGGACCCTGGACATTCTTGCTTACTGTATTGTGCATTAAGAGTTGTCCTTACTGCCCCTCCCACCTCGTAATTTTTCTTTTTGGGCTTATGTAATCAAGTCAGTACGAATGAAGTTTTGGGCGGGTTTAGTAAAGGCATCTTTCCAAGCATCTGTCTGCTTGTTCCACTGCCCAGCTCTACCCACTGCCAAGTTCATCCGCCTCTCTATATTGACAAACACTGAGCTGCACTGCTTCCTGAGTCCCGCCCACTGTGCTATTGTCCATTATACATACTAGCGTCTTCTGAACAGCATCCTGTATCGAGTATTTTTTGTACAGAGAAAAGCTCAGGATCGTGTACATTGCCTAGTGCAGTGGTCGGCAAGCCGCGGCTCGCAAGCCACATGCGGCTCTTTACACGCTTTAATGCGGCTCTTGTGTGCCAGGCGCCCGCTCCCCTCCCTCCCTCCTCTCGGGCGGCAGGGACTCTGCAGCGTGATCCAAAAAAAAACAGCCAGGGCAGCGCGCTCAAATGCAATGATTGGCCAGTCTCGCTGCCACTCACATCCTGATAGCCAGTGATTGGCTGTCAGGATGTGTGTAGGCGGGGGCAGCGTGACGAACGTGAGAGGAGCTAGGCTCCTCTCACAGTCCGCCCTGAAGACCGGAACGGCGCGGGAACACGGCGAGAGGAACGCGCGGAGCAAAGGTAAGTGAATTGACACAGGGGGGGACTTGGCTTACTACTTACTTACTACTACTATATGAGGGATGAATTAATATGGGGGATGAATTACTATGGGGGATGAATTACTATATGGGGGATGAATTACTATAGGGGGGATGAATTACTATGGGGGATGAATTACTATATGGGGGATGAATTACTATATGGGGGATGAATTACTATATGGGGGGTGAATTACTATATGGGGGATGAATTACTATGGGGGATGAATTACTATATGGGGGATGAATTACTATATGGGGAATGAATTACTATAGGGGGGATGAATTACTATAGGGGGAATGAATTACTATATGGGGGATGAATTACTATATGGGGGATGAATTACTATATGGGGGATGAATTACTATATGGGGGATGAATTACTGTGGGGGATGAATTACTATGGGGGATGAATTACTATAGGGGGGATGAATTACTATGGGGGATGAATTACTATATGGGGGATGAATTACTATATGGGGGATGAATTACTATATGGGGGGTGAATTACTATATGGGGGATGAATTACTATGGGGGATGAATTACTATGGGGGATGAATTACTATATGGGGAATGAATTACTATATGGGGAATGAATTACTATAGGGGGGATGAATTACTATAGGGGGGATGAATTACTATATGGGGAATGAATTACTATATGGGGGATGAATTACTATATGGGGGATGAATTACTATATGGGGGATGAATTACTATGGGGGATTAATTACTATAAAA